AACCAACCAAAAAAGCAAACAAAAAACAATGGCAAATGAGAAAAATATGGGAAAAATTCCAGTGTCTCTCAATGCTCATGACATTCCCACTTGCAAAACCATTTTTCATTTCTTTCAGCAGAAAAACATTTATAGTGTAGGAAGCTTACGTTAATCACGAAAATAACTAAGGTTATTTTTTATATAAGGCACAAAACACAAATGGAAACTTTTTGTTCAATCAGATCTTAGCAAAAATATGCCAGAATTTCAAAATTTGTCCCTATAAGAATAACCTATTATTATTACAATTACATTTTTAACATTAGTCCAATCAAGCTGGCATTTGAACTAGCCTTCTGATTTAACACACATCAAGGCTGATATTCAGGATGCAGCACCCAAACTTCATTCCTGACACTGTTCAACTCTTTTCAAGCACAGCCTGGCTGTAAGTGATAATCTGATCTGATATCTATTTATGATGTGCCATATTATGAGTATCTCTGCTCCAGAGATAACACTCTGGAATCATAACACTACCTAGATCCACTTTATCACTTTTCTTCCTTAGAAGACCTTTGAAAAGAACCATACATATTTGGTGCTTTTTACTTAGTTGCTACATGTTCGAAACTGCAAAGCAGTCATGTGCACTGAATTACTGATGGCACGATCATGTATTTTTAGTTTTGCAGAAATAGTAGCCAAACTTGTTGTGTGTTTGCAGTCTGCAGTGTTAATCCTGCACTTTCTCTTTTTTTTTCCATTTGAGACAGGATTATTAGGGCTCACTTAGGTTGTGTTCTTCAGAGCAAACTCAACTCTTTACTGATTTCATTGGGGAAGGATACGTGCCTGAAAGAAGAGATGTCATCCAGAGGCACCTGGACAAGCTCAAGAAGTGATGCCATTGGGAATTTCATGAGGTTTAACAAGACCAAGTACAAGGTGCTGGACCTGTGTTGGGGCAACCCCTGGTACCAGCACAGGCTGAGGATGAGCAGACGGAGAGCAGTCCTGGGGAGAAGGATTTGGGGGTGCTGGTGAGTGAGAGGCTGGACATGACCCAGCCATGGGCAGTCCCAGCCCAGAGAGCCAAACGTGTCCTGGGCTGCATCCAAAGCAGCGTGGGCAGCAGGGGAGGGAGGGGATTCTGTCCCTCTGCTCTGCTCTGCTGAGACCCCACCTGGAGCCCTGCATCCAGCTCTGGGGCCCAGCACAGGAAGGACATGGAACTGTGGGAGTGAGTCCAGAGGAGGGTCTCCAACATGATTAAAAGGATGGAGCACTTCTTCAGAGAGGAAAGAACTGGGATTGTTCAGCCTGGAGAAGAGATGTGGGTACCCCATCTGTGGAGGTGTTCAAGACCGGATGAAACTCTGAGCAACCTGGTCTAGTGGAAGGGGTCCATACCCATGGTGGAGAGGTTTGTGATCTTTAAGGTCTCTTCCAACCAAAACCATTCTGTTATTCTATGATACACTGATCACTTTTCCTGGTTCTACCATTTTGTTGACATCATAAACCCTAAACTTCTGAAGGTTTATTTGTTAACACATGCCTAATCTCATAGGGCCATGAATATGGATAAAGAGCTTCCATTTCAAACTCTGTATAAACAGGATGATTACTGATTAATAGTTATGGCCAGAGTCTACCAAAATAAAGAGCTTGAGACCATAGCCATTGAGTGGCTCAATAGCTAGCCATTGAGGCAGTCAAAGCTATACTTTGACAAAAATAGAAAGAACTTCCAAATAGATAAAATGGGGAAAAAAAGAAAATAAAAGAACGACCAGAACTAGATCTTGTCTTTATATGTTATAATGCTCAAGTAATGAAAGCAAAAAATTGTTTCTAAAATACGTGCAGAGCTAAGAGTAACCATGCCTTGCTCCCCTTGCTGTCTAGGATTCATGACAAACTAAAAACTTCAGCAGGGAGAGTAAAGGGGAAATGAAACTGAGCAGTGCCTAACTTCGTTGTGCTACCTGAAGAAGAGAGAATATCTCAAAATCAGTTTGATGAATTGGAAGTTCGACACTATGGGAAAAGTGGACCCTTCACTTTCTGGTTTTCAGTTCAAATGAACCAATTATTTTGCTGACCTCAGGGTCCAAATTTCAAAGAAAGCTGAAGACAGGCTTAGGCTTGCTGCTATGGCAAATTCCAAAATACCCAATTACTGACCTCAGGAGGAGTCAGCATTCCTGAGATTAGAGTCACTGGGAGTTTACTTCACAAGCTCACTTCTAATAATATACTATAGTGCAGACACCATTAACCTGCCTTTTTCAGTTAGCAAATAAGATATGTCTCAAGGCAAAATAGTTATTAACAGCCAGTGGTAGGAGTTACATCTCTAATTGGAAACAGCAACATCTGCAGGGGAGTGTAATAAAAGTGTATAACAAGTGAGTGTGTTAGTGGATTACAGGGACTCTAGGTAATTGTTCTATAAGACAGCTTTAGCAGAAACAATGAATATTTGAGGACTTCATAGGTCCAGACTAATTCTGGTCACTGAAGAGTGTCCCAAGGATTAACTCTGCTCTTACTAGCCAATTCGAACAGCGTTAAACTGGCAGACATCCCAGATTTCCTTATTATTTGCACTGCATTTATTGCAGTGTTTACATAATTTTGTAGCTAGCTAATTCTCTTTTTTCTCTGCCAGCTCTTATAAGGATGCTGTTCAATAACAAAGCCCATTCACATCAGTTGCTTGACGTAGAGCTATTGTGTCCTAGCTGTCAATTATTCTAAAACATCTTTAGGCCTAAGTTATTCTAATATGAGTGACCTGCTGCTTCTATATACAAAACTCTTCCTAAACTGCTTTTATAGTTAAACACACAAAGCAAAAGCCTGAAAACTGAGCACCTGCTGAGCACCCACAAACTCCTGATGAAGTCTATCAGTATTGCAGATATAGAAACTGAGATATTTAAACATACAGGAAATGTTCTTTGTTATCCTCCATGTGTGAGGTCATATTTTGCCTTCTGGATCAAGCTGCACTTCACAAAATTGGAAGACATTTCTAGAACTCCTTGAAAGAAAAACTCTATAAGAGTTTTACCTAATTTCTCATTTTACATTTTACTCAGCCCTTTCTGAGTCTTTTCTGTAAACTTACTTTAGATGACTGAAGAAAGTATGTAGTTTACAACTCTTCTGTATACCATTTTAGTGTTTGTCTGCATTTTGGAGCTGAATTTTATTTTTGGGTTGCAGTGTTAGGTTTTATATTATGACTTACCCTGTGCTGGCTGGTCTGTGGCATAGGACTTCTCAAGACAGATAGCAAATATATAGTTTTCTCACTTCTTGGGAATGTGTATTTGGCTCTGTTTCCAGAAACAGCAGTACAATAGATAAGCAAGCATGTTCTTTTTGACTTTTTGCCTGTTACTGTCCAGAACCAGATTATATTTCAAGCACATTTTAATGCATTTGCTGTGCAAATTCTGTAAAGGAAACAGTCCACATCCATTCAGCAAAAGCAAAAAGCTATTCCCATGTTCAGATGGGGAGGAAGAAGCATCAGTTTCCTTGTCCCTGAAGTTGCAGATGGCAACAATGGTCACATTCTCGAGTTTTACAGAATAATGCCTCCATCCATGAATTTCTTATATAGGCAGTCTGCCAGGGGTATATGTTGCAGCTATACAACTAGGGGCCTTTTCATTTCTCATTACCACCTTCTTATTTCTTAAACCTTAAACAAGGTTTGTTTCAGTAGGACTACCACAGCCATCACAGTAGTCATGGTAGTCATCCACAATTTAGAAAGTGAGGTGGTGAAGCAGCCCAGGTGTACAAGGACTAGCAGGCAACAAGAGGAGCACACAGCCATGTTCTGCTTCTTCATACATCTGCTCTGAGCTTTGTATAGGTAATAATGTCCTTTTATTAGATATACTGCTTAAACTTACAAGCTGAAAAAATAAATGCAAACCTCTTAGATAGTTTGAGAAGCAGATGAAATGCTTATTAAGCCTCCAAATGTTCCAGCTGCACTTTCAAGAAACTTTGGCCAAGGCCAGAGGTGGAGCTGGTTGTGAGATGGGGATATTCCCACTGTACCTTTCAAATGCCTTTGCAAGAATCTATGGCTCTGGTCAGACTTCTTTGAGCTTCCAGGAAAACATGGTAGCAACTACTGCAAAAGGGAGACTGTGAGGTGCACCATCTCCTGAATATCAGCTCTTAAAGATGTATGTGAGTTTTCTCAAAACTCTGTAATGTGGGTGCTTTTCCTTGTTGCTCTTCTCTGGCTGTAGCCAGATCCCCATTGCCAGGATAGGTCAGAGGAGTTGGAAACAGGGTCAGATCTACTGCTCTGCTCCTAGTGAACTGGGGCAGAAATCAGCCACTCGTTTAATTTGTGAACACTAAAAAAGTCAACAACATTTTTTTTTTCAAATCTACAGCCTGCCCTAAGCATGTAATGTAGTCAAATTAAATCCCTAATAAAGTATCTATGAAATGGAAACCAAACATGTCCATCTTTTGTAGTTCCAGCCTCCCCTAATGGAAAATGGCTGTATTTCAATCAGCCACATGTCCAAGCTGTGGCTGTTCTCACAAGCCTGATTTCTTCCCTTAAATGGGATCCATCCGAGAATGTGACACTGTTGGTTCTCTTCCTGCAGACCTACATGAGAGTCAGAAACATTACACAAATAAGCTCAGTCTCGCAACTGTGGTCCTCCTTAGAGGCACTGAGCCCTTCAAGAACAAGATGAAGGTGTTCATTTGGAGAAGCCAGCAGTGCTGGGTTGCTCAGGACTGCTCTGGCAGACAGAGAAAATGGTGCAGTGCAGCATTTTGACATGCCAGCAGCACTGAAGGCAGCTCTGAAAAGCAAAGTCCCTCTAAACCACCAGAGTGGTGTAGAGAGCTGCAAGCAGGAATCACAGCTGAGCACTGAGTCGTGACTGCAGTACCCTTAAATGGGAGAAGCCAGGCTGACTCCTTGGCATCTCCCATCTAGTTATCTGATGTTACAGACGCTCAGCATGACACAGCAGAAGAGAGTGGGTGAATAGTTAGTTACAGGGCTCCAGTGACACTCATTTCTATTTAATTCTCTTTGCATTAGTCAGGCTGTTTAAGTGGACCCTGATGTAAATATGAATTGAGTCTCTCTGGAGCTGTTTGCTTGCTTCCCTGGGTAGGTTTTGCATGTCTCTTTATTTAAATTTCATCTGACCATGAAAGACTAAAATACTGGAATAACTGATGGTTATTCAGATGTAAATTACAGACTGATTCTCTTTACTTCTGCCTCACCTTCCCTCACCTTTCCCCAGGAAGCATCAGTATAGGGCAGATTAATAGAAAATATTGCCAGAAGTTATCTCAGTGTCTTGTCTTTTGTAGATTCATGCTGTTTGCACAGTCAAGGTGTCAGGATTTTCAGGTTTGCCAACTTTTTTACTCAGCCTTCCAATGTCATTCATTTCCCAGGCTTTGACATACACACTGATATGATCCAGGAAATTAGTTTTTCAGCTGTTTATTGTGTGAATTAAGCACTAATAAGCCTTGTTGTTTGTACCCTTCCCTATGGCTCTACAAAGCTAAGTCAATGACATTATGTAGCGGATGAAACCGGCCATGATAATTTTAAATAAGTATTAGCTATTCATGATAGTTAAATGTTGCCCATGATATTGATAGCAACAGCTGGTGTTCACAGACATGACTTCTTTTTCACCTTTTATTGCATTTTCCATGTGGAACAGCATTTCTATCTGAAAAGTTCCTTGCAACTAATATTTCCTAATAGATAGGAAATATTCCTGTGTCACTTTGTGCTTTATATCTATCTCAAGACAGCAGGAATTTTTTCTCTTCTACAAAATCTGGGGAAGGGGGTAGATTTTAGACTGCCTCAATATGGCGTTTCTTGTGCTATTATCTTTCCTGGAGACTGACGTTTTTGTTCTGTCTACTGACTTGCTGCATGCATATAGACTGATCCTGATGGTACTGGTGGGCACCTGGCTAGTAGTTGCAGCTTGCTGCTGCACACAGAGATGTGAATACAGCTGTCAAGTCCCCTGACACTCTGTCCCTGGTCTGGTTTCCTCTGTGACAGGTATTCCCTGCATGCAATTTCACCACATCCCCACAAAGGAACCCCCTTTTCAGGGTTAGAGAATTGTCACAGCCTCTGTGAGAGCTCAGTTTGTGCAGCATCCCTGGACAGGGACACAGCATAACATCTCACACAGTTGTTTTTTGTTTTTTTAATTTGAAGATGAGCAGCTTCAGAGAGACAAGAGGTTCTGCCTAACCCCTCCCAAAGGGTTCTGCCCCCATGAGCTGAGCAGAGGCCCTGAGGCCCTGCCTGCCCTATGGCCCTTGGACACGCTGTGCCTGTCCTTCACGCTAGTGCTGAGCAGAGTGTGAGGAGATGTGCTCCAACAGAAAGATGCCAGGAATCAGCTGCCATGGCAACAGTGCAACACTTTTCTACCGAAACTGCTCCTGCTGACCTGGTCAATCAGCATTACAGTTTTAAGAACACTCTGTTTCCAATAGTTTGTTCTAGCATTCTTCTATCAGCAGCTTTTCAGAGGCTGGAAATGTTTGGATATTAATACTTTAAGCTACTTTTAAAATTATGAATACAGAAAAAATGCAGACACTTTTGTTACAGCTTAAGCCAGCCTAAGTTCTTATTTTCGTCCAGGCCAAAAAAATTTTTAATCAGCTCTTTCTGAACCTGGCAAGAAAATGCCCCTCTGGCTGGAGAAGAAAGAGTGAACACACTATATAAGCCAAAGAGAGGCTTTCCTCAGGCTCTAATGGTCTGAAAACTGGGGTGCCTTTTGCTGTGATTTTGGCACTGTTGGAGTCCCTTCCCGACTGGGTGATCAGGTGAGCGGGGGCCGCCATGGTGAGGTTGTTTGAGTCAATATGCAGGGCCAGGATCCAGATGCTAGAGCTGTCACTTTTGTGGTTTCATAGTTTAGGCCCTTTTACAAAGCCTGCTTGATTTTCAGATGAAGCCCCATGAGTACTCCTGGGCTGCTTTAAAAACAGCTTAGCACTCAGCACCCTGAAAATCCACACCTTGATTTCACACCTAGAACAAAAATGCCAATAACCTGCTCCATTTTGACTGGGAAAGGTGGGAATGGACCCCTTATTAAAAGAGGCAAATTGAAGGTTGAGAATGTAACTCATGAAGGAGATGAACGAGAAACACTGGCTAATGAAACTCAAGATGGCCAAGAAGTCATGTTCCACTTAAAGGCTGCTAATTTACTGCTCCTTGATACACTCAGATATGCTGAGTCCTCTGGCTGTAAAAATCCTGATGGAGAGGCTTTAGGATGATTTGAGTTACTGGGAATGATGACTCATTAAAACCACAACTCCAGTCTGGAGCCCTGCTACTACTGCTTGTGCAGCAGTATTTCAGGTTTGATATTGTCCAAGTCATTATTTTTGCTTATTAGAAAGCCATGGCGTTTTACTGACATTTGCTCTGTTTATGATGAATCATTGAAGGAACTAATGACCATGCTCACCTCACCAGGAATTTGGAGGCCAGGTGTGTGGGGGGGAGGCACTGGCAGGCAGGGAGAGCAGGAGTAGGAGGAGGGGTTACTTGAGAATGTATTTTCAAAGGTAGGTCTCAGATGTATTATCAGGTAACAAGTGGATTAACCAGCTATTTGCACATCAGATGAACTGTGGTAATCAATCCTGCATTCATGTTAGTCCAGCACAAATGAAACACATCAGCTGACTCTTTTGCTAAGACCACTGACATGGCCTTGAATCTGCTGCTAGAACTCAAATGCAGTCCCTTATGATCCATCTGTCTGATTGTCAAGACAGGATAAGGACAGTCATGCTCAGCCTTAGAAGAAGTTTGAGGGCATGGAATAGGTATCAAATATGTGATACAGAGGAGTTGAGGGACACAACAAATTTAGGATTGCAAACTAGACCTGCGGTTAAATAGAGGGGAAGCCATCTCTAAAGAGAAGGGAGAAAGACATAAGGGTAAATCCACAGGGAATATCAGGTTGAACTTGCTTCATATTCTTACCCTTAGCTGCCCAGAACATATTAAGAGAATAGAGAACTGTTGGGCTGGATGTGGACTGACAGATATACTTCCAATATTTAAGAGGTAGGCATGAATACTTCCAGTATTCAAGATGTAGGTACCACTGCTTCAATTATGTCTCACTAGTTTCAGTTTGCCTGAATGACTTGGAAAGGGGAGACCAGGTGATGGCTTGCAATACGTGGAGCCGTCTGTCATTTATGTTATGTTGGAAAGGGTAGTTTTCACAGTTATTGCGAAGCTTTCAAATGAATAACAAAGCTGCTCTTTGTCCCTCAGATCAAGTATGACAACAACAACACAATAATAATAATAATATTTCAATCCCTACAAGACCTTTCTCCCTCAGTTTCTACTCTAGATTTTCAGGCTCATCTAGACTGAAAACTCATGGGTTGTTTCCAGTTGTGTGATCAGTGGTAAACTTCAGTCTGAGTAACTTATTTAATTTTTTCACATATATTAGGAGAGTAGCAGAAGAGGGGAGAATGAAAACAAAGGATCCCTAATAAAAATCACTGTCTGGTTCCAATTCTGGCCATCTGCACAGCACAAAGAGCGCAAAATCAAGATGCAACCTCAGTTAACAGGAAACCTGGCTAGAACTGCACATCTTTCATCTGATTGTCTGACAGTCAGACAGACTGACTGATCATAAGGGACTACATTTGAATTCTAACGTCTGTAACCCCCATTACATGCTTTATATTGCACAGGAATGTAAGGGTATTGAAAACTAACCTGCCCAAGTAATTATTCTTGCTTTCTTTTAATGAAGGAAGGTAGAAATAGGGATATCAGAGTGACAAGGAATTTTTTTAATCAGCTGAGCAGAAGATCCTCAGGTGGTATAAATTGCATTGCTCTGGAGCTATATGAACATCAGACTGAAAAACGTGATTCCCTGATAGAAAACAAGCAGGAAACTATATGAAAAGTCTACTGTAAAATCTAAAATGTAAACAACACAAAAAAAGAAACACAAAACCCCACAATGCACAAAATTTATAATCAGATGGTATTTAATTCAAACCATCTTGGCAATTCATATGAAATTTTAGGTCAGATTCAAGACAGAAGGTTGAGAAACTAGAATGTCATGCCATTTTTGTACTCTCTGCTTATGCCTAGTGGGAAACAAAAAGCTGAATTCACTCCTAAAGGGCTAAAAATATATATTTCTCAAACTCAATCCCTTCTGTTGTTTTTTGACATAGTTTGGGGTGTCTTTTTGAAAGTATGGCAAAAAAAAGTTTCTAATAAAGTAGGACATAAACTTGCTTTATTTTCTTTACCTATCTGAATCCAAAACAAAAATAGATCAAACCTCTAAGTAATATTTGTGTACTAAAAGAAATGATTCCTGACGATTTTAATGACAAGTTTCAGCTTGATGTGATTTAAAATGGGCAAGTTACAAAGCCCTAAAAAAATGGGGTTTTATAATGGAAATGCTGACAGACCCTTAACTACGGCAGTGTTGCTGGGCGCCACTCTAATAAAAGGTGGCAAGGATCCAGAAGTATTCACAGCTGCATGTCTAAACTTTATTAAGTATCTGACTATAGTTTGCAGGTCCTCACCAGATCATAACTCACTTAATTCTGACACATTCCAGTTTATAATTAGTGTTGTACTAATATGTTCCTAACTGGTACCAGCATATCCTTAATTTTTTTTTCTCCTGTAAAACAAGGCTGTTCCCCAAAACCAAGGATGCACTGACACTGGCAAGAAGCACGTGTGCTTTTTTTTTTTGGTCCTTGGGCTAAAATAATTCATGTTAAAGGCCAATGTCTGTAAATGAAGCGCAATGAACACTGAAACATCTGTAATTCCCAAGGCAGAAGAAATAAAGCAATTTCCAACTTTCTCTAAGCAAAGTATTTTACTTGTCTTTGCATTCACTGAGAAAGCAAATTGTTCTTAAAATACATCAGTAATAGTTTGCCATTAGGAAATAATTGTATAAACAAAATAAGCAAACACAATTGTTTCAGTAATTTGCCAAGTAATAAAATAACTGTACTAGTACATTGAAGGTATAAACATATTTTTTTAAATCTATTGTTGGGTGTCTG